CATGTGTACATGTAGGCGTGGTGCGTCTGATGCCAGTGTACACGAGGCGTGATGCGTCTGATGCCAGTGAAGTGTACATGTAGGCGTGATGCGTCTGATGCCAGTAAGTGTACATGTAGGCATGGTGCGTCTGATGCCAGTGTACATATAGACGTAGTGGCTTCTGACGCCAGTGTACATGTGGGCGTGATGCGTCTGATGCCAGAGTAGTGTACATGTAGTCTTGTTGCGACTGACGCCAGTATACAGGTAGGCTTGTTGCGACTGACGCCAGTGTACATGTAGGCTTGGTGCGACTGACGCCAGTGTACATGTAGGCTTGGTGCGACTGACGCCAGTATACATGTAGGCTTGGTGCGACTGACGCCAGTATACAGGTAGGCGTAGTGCGTCTTATGCCAGTGTATATGTAGGCGTAGTGCTTCTGATGCGTATGTACATGTTGGCGTGGTTGGTCTGATGCCAGTGTACATGTAGGCACGTCGCGTCTTATACCTCTGACATGTAGGTGTGGTGCGTCCGAGGCTTTTGTGCATGTAGGCGTTGTCGCTTCAGATGCCAGTGTACATATATACGTGGTGCCGTCTGATGCCAGTTTACATGTAGGCGTGATGCATCTGATGCCAGTGTAGTGTACATGTAGGCGTGGTGCATCTGATGCCAGTGTACATGTAGGCGTGGTGCGTCTGATACCAGTGTATATGTAGGCGTGTTGCGTTTGATGCAAGTGTACATGTAAGCGTGGTGCGTCTGATGCCAGTGTACATGTTAGCGTGGTGGGTCTGATGCCAGTGTACAGGTAGAGGTGGTGGCGTTTGATCCCAGTGTACATGTTGGCGTGGTGGGTCTGAAGCCAGTGTACATGTGGGCGTGGTGCGTCAGATGCCACTGTACAGGTAGAGGTTGTGGCGTTTGATCCCAGTGTACATTTAGGCGTCGTTCGTCTAGTGCCAGTGTTTATGTAGGCGTGGTGCGTCTGATGCCAGTGTAGTGTACATGTAGGCAGGGTGGCGTTTGATACCAGTGTACATGTAGGCGTGGTACGTCCGAGGCTTGTGTGCATGAAGGCGTGGTCGCGTCTGATGCCAGTGTATAGGTAGGCCAGGTGCGTCTGATTCAAGTGTATATGTAGGCGTGGTGCGTCTGAGGCATGTGTACATGTAGGCATGGTGCGTCTGATGGAAGTGTACATGTAGGCATGGTGCGTCTAATGCCAATGTATATATAGACGTAGTGGCTTCTGACGCCAGTGTACATGTAGGCGTGATGCGTCTGATGCCAGTGTAGTGTACATGTAGGCTTGGTGCGTCTGATGCCAATGTAGTGTACATGTAGGCGTGATGCGTCTGATGCCAGTGTAGTGTACATGTAGGCTTGGTGCGTCTGATGCCAATGTAGTGTACATGTAGGCGTGATGCGTCTGATGCCAGTGTAGTGTACATGTAGGCGTGGTGCGTCTGATGCCAGTGTAGTGTACATGTAGGCGTGGTGCGTCTGATGCCAGTGTACATGTAGACTTGGTGCGTCTGATGCCAGTGTACATGTAGGCTTGGTGCGACTGACGCCAGTATACAGGTAGGCGTAGTGCGTCTGATGCCAGTGTATATGTAGGCGTAGTGCGTCTTATGCGTATGTACATGTTGGCGTGGTGGGTCTGATGCCAGTGAACATGTAGGCATGTCGCGTCTGATACCTCTGACATGTAGGCGTGGTGTGTCCGAGGCTTTTGTACATGTTGGCGATGTCGCTTCAGATGCAAGAGTACATGTAGACGTGGTGCCGTCTGATCCCAGTTTACATGTAGGCGTGATGCATCTGATGCCAGTGTAGTGTACATGTAGGCGTGGTGCGTCTGATTCCAGTGTACATGTAGGCGTTATAATTAGGAACCGACCATTCGATCTTCTGTGGGAACTGACATAAGCTCACCATGGAACTTCACACCACGGAAATCGCAGTGTGAATAGATTTCGCATGACGGATGACGCACGCCGTACAAAGACGGATGGCAATACGTCACATAAGCCTTTCGGACATCTTACAATGCGACAGCGCAACAATGCGACAAATGGCAAGAATGTCGCGTTGTCGCATAGTCGCAATGTCGAGCCTGGGCTAATTTTGATACTTTTTGCTTGTTTTAGCAAGGGCGACAATGCGACTACGCGACAATGTATTCCACATACAACCGCAACATATTATAACATTTTTGGGGTAAACGAGCATATTATAAAGAGACAGCCAACATTTGACATATTTCAAAACAGCGAGCGACTGAATAGAACATCTGCCAGACTCGGTTCTATGTCATTGAACCCCAAATTTCAGCCCCGTATAAAAGTATTGGTGTTATCTTTGTATCAAAACATTTGAAGTAAAAGTTAGGCGAGTATGGTTTCAAGGAATTTATACTAATTGGAATACTAGTAAACAAATATAAAAATATAAATACATTCCGAATGTAACTTAACACCAAAACGACAAGTGTGTTCCATTTCAGTAACCAATTCGTTTATTAAAAACAAACTGAAACAAAAAGTGACAAAGCATACACACCCATGAAGCAACAAATATACCAGCTATTCTGTTGTAAGTCTTTACATTACTGTACATGGATTGTAACATTTTACCCAGTCTTGAATATCAATAGAGTTTGGTCGTTGCGGTCGTCTAGCTTTATGATGTCCCAGAAACGTTTAGAATCTACCGCTGCTGCATTTTCTAGGTCATTCCTTTTACATTGTGCAAACTGGTCCTTCTTGATTCCACACAGTTATCTGTGTTCTTGCAAACTTTGTTATTCTTAAAAGGGTAGGAGTTATCTTTAGATTCTTCTGAACGCATTTAAATAATAGCACCGCTCATGTAGGCGGTGTCATGTCATCGGGGAACATGTCACTCGATGCTAAACAATAATCTATCACACTACACCCAAAATGTCCAATTGGGGGCACGGGTGGCCCAGTCGTCTAAGGCGCCGCGATTCGCTGTGCAGCTAGAGTTGCGTCCCTTGGGCCCGATTATGTTGCTAGGTCTGTCAGCACCATACCCGTGCTCGTGGGTTTCATCGAAGTGGTAAACGTCTGAGGCCTGCATCACTTCGGGCTTTCCTCCCACATTAAGCTGACACGCCGTGATATAACTGGAATACTGTTAAAAGCGGAGTTAAACCCAATTCACTCACTCACTCACTCACTAAATGCCCAATAAATGTACAGTCACCGATTTGATAGTGAGTTCCAAATTCACAATATGAATGTTCAAATTTGAACACATTTTCAAAAGAGTTTTTTCAAAGCTATTTAGTAATTTATCACATGAATATGTTTCCATCTCAGATTGTGTAAAAAACTCTACTAAGTAAACATTATTTTCAACATGGTGAATAACATCGTTCTCCACATAGTCCCGCGTCACACCGGTTCTACTGTTCATGTACAATGGACCCGTAAAGATCCGGGGTAGAATAGATCTTCAGCAACCCATTCTTGCATTTTTGCCGTAAAAGTTGACTATGCTTGTCGTAAGAGGCAACTAACGGGATCGGGTGGTCAGACTCGCTCATAATGTCGACCACTGGATTGTCTGGTCCAGACTCGATTATTTACAGCTGGATTTATTGATATAGCTGGAATATTGTTGAGTGTGTTGTTAAACAACAAACAAATAATCAAACAAATCCAAGTACAATGATAGAAACAGCTGGGTACTCTCCCGGTGTACTCAATACGAGATACAGCAAAATATCTATCCCATTTTGTCTATCTTTGTTGTCACACCAGGTCGATTTCTCCGGCTGCATATATGTAAATACACATTTTTTACATTAAGGGTTGTAACACTGGGTGCTAAGGAGAGATGGATAACAACAGCTTGCGTATTTCTTTTCCAAAAACTCTGAACTTATCAAAACAAAATATCAAATACATATTTTAATTTCTTGCTAAGTTTGGAGTTCCTCGCAGTATTGTTCAATATTTTCCATAACTGGCTTGATCACTAACTGCTCATGGGATTGAGATAACAATAGTTTGACTATGAACACAATTAACTATTTTCATTCTACAAAGGATTAATAACTTATGAAAACGCATCGAGTTCCCCTTTCATCTACTGGGTGTTGAGAGGAAATATATAAATAACCACATGTTTCAAAGCAACCCACAGGTTTGTCAACAGGGTAAAGTACTAATAACATGCGAAATACTTTGGATTAGTTCACAATTAATGTAAGGGGTGCATTTTTCATAGTGTAGGCAACGTGCACTAAACCCAGCTTTACTGTAAGCGATCGGGACTGAAGGCGAATAGAAATGGAACGCCCGATTTTCGGTTCATTATCACTCGATCGACATTTGTGATGTTTGAAAAAACAAAGCAGTGAAGCATATAAGGATGTTCTTGTCGATTTATTTAGAGCAATAGGTGTAAGGTGCGATTACAAGCCCTCGTTTGAGTTTAAAATGGTGAACGGAAACAGACGAAATATATGATCATATTATGAATCGATGCACATGACATTTGGTCATATATGTATTCATTAAAAAATATTCATGTTCCATTATATTTTTTTATTATTATTATTATTATTATTATTATTATTATTTTTATTATTATTTACAATATGTACTCACCGACAAGTACACAACCATGCTAGAATAAGGAAATATATATGGCTATGTACTGTGACTTGTAGGTGAGTGGTGAATATTCTTTTACATACATACATACATACATACATACATACATACGACCGCCTCCGTGGTCTAGTGCTAGAGCGTCCGAACGGAGAGCGGAAGGTCCGGGGTTCGATCCCCGGCCGCGTCATACCAAAAGACGATTAAAGATGGTACTTGTTCTCACCCTATCTGGCGCTCGGCATTAAGGGGCTAAAACAAGGACTGGTCGGCTCGGAGTCAGTATACTGTGTCTGAGTGGGGTATTCATGCTAAACTGCGGCATGGCTTCTCAGTGGGCTAGCACTATAAATCGGCATCAGTCCGGACTAGTACCAGCAGCCACACACACACATAAGTGCAATAATCTTGGACGCGACGTTGAACCCAATTTCACCTCACCTCATCTCACATACATACATACATCAAAGGTCAAGTAGGGACTACTTTATAAACAAATATGGCGTCGACCTTATCATTCGGCGATCGAGTCAGAAATAACCATCGGGAATCTGGAGAAACTACTGGGATAATGGCTATCACTGACATGGATTCCTGGGCGATTAACATTTGATCGGGGAGGGGAATGATTTGATCCCAGGATAAATGGATTCAAGACTGTGTAATTTCTTGGATCAGGTCACTCTAGAGGGATTCTATCCTAATGCTGTGAAATTTGAGAGGAGTGATTAAATCCTGTCACACCGACAGTTGGATTCTAACTCTTCACGAAGCACTTTGTCAAATATCCGAACTAGTCGAATACCTGTAACACAGTGGAATGAACAGATGTCTAAATTGTTACTGTAAATGTATTCATGATCTCTGATGATTGCTCATGTTGGGCTTCTGATGCTGAAAACATCCCTGGATCTGTTTCGGCAGACTCTGACATTCTTATCTGTTCAATTGGATCGATCGTCAAGAGAGTGTCTTGTGCTAGGATGGCATCCTTCACATCATTATTCGTTACGATTTCTGACAGAAACCCACAGCAACTTGCTGCCAGGAGAAGACACGCTGAAACACATCACAGGAAATTATCTGAACGATTGATCGATCCACCCATGTATTGCAAGTTTCATTCACACAATGGTAATACATTGATGACATTTAGCAGTTCTGATAGTTATGGTTTTTTAATGAGAAATGCACCCTTGAAGAGGCATGTAGTTATCCGTGAAAGAAATATTAGTAAACTGACTATGATAAGACCTTCGTCTCTTAACTGTCTAGAAATTCTGAGCAACTCCTCTTAACTCTCTAGAAATTCAGAACTCCCTTTTCTTTACTGCCCAGAATTCAGAACTCCCTTTTCTTTACTGCCCAGAATGCATAGCTTCCTTTTCCTTACTGTCTGGAATTCACATCTTCCTGTATAAACTGTCTAAAAAGTCAAAACTCCATTTTCTTAACTGTCCATAAATTCAGAGCTCCCTGTCTTAGATTAGACCAACAGCCCCTTCTCCTTAGTGCAAAAGCGGTGATATAACTGGACTCACTCTTAAGTGTACATGTTCTTCCAGCAATCCACTGAGCCTCGAGAACGGCGTACCCATTGAAGCCTGGCATCATATTAAATGAAGTCCTGATATCTTCACGACATAATGGTAGCAGTGAGTCAGTGAGTTTGATACAACGTCGCTTTTACCCCCACGATTGCAATAATACAGTCAGTCTAGCAATATAGATTGTAATGATGACCATAACAATGGTGACTTAATCACTTCCACTCACCTGTGAACACAAACAAAGCGTAGTAAGAATTTGTCCGATACCGAATGTATGCTGAAAGAAGAGGAAGACATTCCTACTGTTATCAAGATTATCTGTACATGAATAGGAGTATGTGGCCTGAATATTATTATAAAGTAAGCGATCAATTATACCCTGGTTTCTCCATTTTTTTCCAATAAGACATGTTGCTGACTTGCGCTAAGTCCACGAGCATCAAATATCTGTTTTCGCATGCCTTTAAAACTATGTCGTATGCTGCTGAAATTATATACTCACAAGCAAAAGAAACGCAAGTGGTTTTAAGCAAATAGGTAACAAACACGGAACCATAAATTAATACGAGTTGTAGCATGTAGTGAAGCCTGATGGTGTTATCAATATTTTTGGTTGCATTTTGGAAGCCCCGAGTAAAAACGCAACATAAAAAACGAATCGCCAAAACGCACCATTTCAATGAATATGTGGGTATCATGCACCCATTTCTCGCGAAACCGAAAATGCACGAACCGTCACGAACTGTAGTGGGTATAAAACTGTGGCCGATTCTTGGACCTACCGCTCCTTGGTCAACAATGCCACGCCTAACTCAAATTCAGAGAAACCAGGCTATCGGACGTTTGAAAGCTGGAGAGTCTGTCCAAGATGTTGCCCGTCATTTCAACGTTACCATAACCACAATTTATAGTCTCCTGCATCGATACAATGCTACACAGACCACAGATGACCTTCCTCGGAGCGGTCGTCCTAGGGTCACCACACCTCGACAAGATCGGCAGATTACCCGTCAACACCAGCGACATCCGTTCCTTACTGCAAGTGAAAGTGCTCGACAGACCATAGGAACACATAATCGACACATTAGCCGGGATACTGTGATCCGACGTCTCCGTTCCAACAACCTCAGATGTCGCCGACCAGCACGTTGTCCTGTTCTCTAACCACGGCATCGACAAGCACGACTTCAGTGGGCACAGGGTCATCACAATTGGCGTCATCGTGAGTGGAGGCGTGTCATCTTCTCTGAAATAAGTCGTTTTGAAGAAAGTCGCTTTTGTGTCTCCCATGCAGACGGAAGAGAGAATTTGGCGGCGCCGAGGTGATCGTTTCGCTGACAGAAACGTTGTGGAAAGGGATCCATTGGGTGGACCTGGCGTCATGATATGGGCAGGGATTGGACTTAATGCGAGATTTGGACCCATGTGCTTTCTGAATGTTGGTCAAGGTCGGGGACACGGCGTCACTGCTCAGCAGTATATCGACCAAGTGATCAGACCTCACGTTGTTCCATCTTTTGCACAACATCAACAACAAACTTTCCAGCAGGACAACGCTCGTCCCCATGATGACAGAGCTACCATGGTCTATCTGCAACAACCCAACATCCATGTCCTACCGTAGCCAGCCCTCAGCCCTGATCTGAACCCCATCGAACACTTGTGGGATGAGGTTCAAAGGCGTCTGCACAATGTGCGCCCAGTCCCTACAACTGCCGATGAACTACGCACAGCTGCTCTGGATGTGTGCAGGAGGATCCCTAGGGCCTTCACAAATCGTCTGATCCACTCATTGTACAGATGTGTGGCAGTGATCAATGCTAATGGTGGTCACACCAGGTATTGACTGACATTTTGGGTATTGACCCGAAACTGTGTAAGCCCTTAACATTTGAAAAAAACATTTATGTCATCTGCCTTTTAATCCATTAAACTGTCTTCAGTCAAATTTTTGTCAATCTTGCCCTATTAGTATTTCTTGTCTTTACTGTTGAAAATAAATAACATGTATACTGCATACTCGATTTGCGTTTCTTTTGCGTGTGAGTATATATATATAAGCGGGAAAATGTGACTGTGCTTCATATAAAATGTCTATTATAAAAAAATAATTACATAACATGTGATCATTCGTCTGATCAATGTTTGATAATGAAAACAAAACCTACACCTGGTGAAGGGAGACAGAGCGACAGTCCTGAAGGAGGAGTGGTTTAACAGCTCAATAAACAATGTGAGTTGCGGGTGTGACCACCGTTTGCATTAATACAGACGAGGCAGCGGTGGCGAATTAAAAACACCACATGATTCAAAATGTCAAAGATTGGTCCAACTAAGCTAGCGATGCCGGCTGGTTCTGGTCATGTTGAAGGCGTCACTCTATCTAATCCCAGACATGTTCTGTGACACTGCCGGCCATGACAGTACAGCAATGACATGCTGCCTCAAAACATCTGTTCCAATACGTGCAACGTATGCAAACCTGTTGCAACGTGAAGTTACGTTCCTGTATTTGCACAAAGATAGAACATGATCTCTAACAATGTCGTCCCATTCAAATGCCATTAACAAGGAAGTGTTGTGCTGTCCCATGAGTAGTGATGCCAACCCAAACCATTACACGTCCATCCACAATCTGACAGAACAGAACTTTATCCACTCAAGGCTACATAGCATAGCGCAATAAGGTAGTTATCAGAGATCAATATACAGGTATATGGGGGCAGATTACATATTACTTAAACATTGATTATTTGACCGCAAAAACTAGAAGGTGTATTTTCACTTTAAAATAAATTTATCATATTGAACACAGAAGGCTTCTTTATATAATATAATGGCAATGATTACTTTGTTATATCTAAAAGGTATTCGCAAACAAATATATAGTCATACTCATCCCAAAATATCATTAGTTTGGCATAAGAAACGTTTTCTCTCGAACAGAGGTATATGGTGTCACCGACCAAGATCAGCTGGTAGTCGGTGGTTTGAAAGTCTGAATTGTACGAAAATCAAGTATTATGTCATGGGTTGACTTTGTAAATAAAATTCATTTTCAATAGAATGTACCCTTAGATGAGGAGTCTATGTCAGATCTCCCGTTTTGAATATATTGGTCTTCAAGACAATATTGTATTTTCAATTTTAAGAATTATTTTTTTCTATTGCATGAGAAGAGCAAATGTAGATATTACATGTCTGGAAGAGAATATTTTTAATACAATTGAACCACTTATTTTCTGGTTTATCATTAATATTTTTCACAAAATAACTTTGTAGAACTACATTGTTGGTTTTCCATTAAAAAGTTTTGCCTAGTAGGTGATAATTTTAGAGAAAACATCAATATATAAGCGTTTTCTTCCACTTTCACCATGGGATATATACTTGGGTGTGCTTTTCTTTACTGGAAGTGGGGCGGTCGGGTAGCCTAGTGGTTAAAGCGTTCGCACGTCACTCCGAAGACCCGGGTTCGATTCTCGACATGGGTACAACGTGTGAAGTCCATGTGGTGTCCCCCGCCGTGATATTGCTGGAAAATTGCTAAAAGCTGCGTAAAACTATCACTATTACTATAATGTTGAGTAACGCAAGCGTCGATAAAACGTTCCCCTGGACACCTGTAGACCTTTGCACGACCATCACAGCTGTCCAGAAGTGAACAGTATACTGTCCAAGTTTTGTCTTCTGAACCTCATATGCTGTCTACAGCAAGCTAGGCGTTCCTGACGGTGACGTGATCGCTGGACGTCAGGTCGGATGTTGTGCTCAACCCATTGTGTACGGTTCTACCACTAATTGAGCTCAACCCAGGAATTGTCCGAGCTGCTTATGTGGCAGTTTGGTATCGATTCCGTACCAACCGAATATGGTTGTCTAGTTGAATATGGTTGTTTAGTTGAATATGGTTGTTTAGTTGAATATGGTTGTCTAGTTGAATATGGTTGTCTAGTTGAATATGGTTGTCTAGTTGAATATGGTTGTCTAGTTGCTGTAGATAAAGTCCCAAAGAGATGATAATGTGTTTCGATAAACATTAAATTGTCTGGCAACTTCGCTTTGCTCCATTCCTGTTTGCGGCTTACCCATGGCGCTTAGGCGTTGATTTTCAGCAAACCGTGGTATTGCGTTAGCGATATTTACGGTGAAGCAAAGGTGATTTTATGAGCACCCGATAGCTAAATAATAATTGCATCCTGTTCACATTAAAACACGTATGTGAGTATCATGTTCCCAACAAACACGCAATTGAACGTCGCACATGAACATCCACGTGCAAGTTGTGAATCACGAAGTCAAGGAGATGTCATGTGATGTGACTAGCTGTCAGTATTGACTGATGACTACCTTCAATGGGTGCCTAGCTGTCAGTATTGACTGATGACTACCTTCAATGAGTGACTAGCTGTCAGTTTTGACTGATGGCTACCTTCAATGGGTGACTAGCTGTCAGTATTGACTGATGACTACCTTCAATCGGTGACTAGCTGTCAGTATTGACTGATGACTACCTTCAATGGGTGACTAGCTGTCTGTATTGACTGATGACTACCTTTAATGGGTGACTAGCTGTCAGTATTGACTGATGGCTACCTTCAATGGGTGACTAGCTGTCAGTTTTGACTGATAGCTACCTTCAATGGGTGACTAGCTGTCAGTATTGACTGATGGCTACCTTCAATGGGTGACTAGCTGTCAGTATTGACTGATAGCCACCTTCAGTGGGTGACTAGCCGTCAGTATTGACTGATGGCTACCTTCAATGGGTGACTAGCTGTCAGTATTGACTGATGGCTACCTTCAATGGGTGACTAGCTGTCAGTATTGACTGATTGCTACCTTCAATGGGTGCCTAGCTGTCAGTATTGACTGATGGCTACCTTCAATGGGTGAATAGATATCAGTTTTGACTGATGGCTACATTCAATGGGTGACTAGCTGTCAGTATTGACTGATGGCTACCTTCAATGGGTGACTAGCTGTCAGTATTGACTGATAGCTACCTACAATGGGTGACTAGCTGTCAGTTTTGACTGATGGCTACCTTCAATGAGTGACTAGCTGTCAGTTTTGACTGATAGCTACCTTCAATTGGTGACTAGCTGTCAGTATTGACTGATAGCTACCTTCAATAGGTGACTAGCTGTAAGTATTGACTGATGGCTACCTTCAATGGGTGACTAGCTGTCAGTATTGACTGATGACTACCTTCAATCGGTGACTAGCTGTCAGTATTGACTGATGACTACCTTCAATGGGTGACTAGCTGTCTGT